CCCACCGTTTCCAAAAATCTTGAACCGTGCGCTGTACTGCTTCCCATCGATCGAGACGATTGATTCGAACGTTCGACAAATCAACTTCTGGTATGCTTGTCAATGGCGCGCCCGTGAGAAAGTGACTTGGGGTTAATGGTTGGAGGTCCAAAGGATCCGCGGACAGCGGGGCTAATGGCCGGGAATTTAGACAAGCTTCAATCTGGATTAAAACAGTGGATAGCTCCTCGAACGTGAGCAGATTGTTGCCCATTACTCGTTTCAAATGATATTTGCATGCTTTGACTCCGGCTTCCCAGAGGCCTCCTAAGTGCGGAGAATATGGTGGAATGAAGCTCCATTCAATACCCAATTCTAGCAACGTATCATTGGCTGGACCATTGAGACGAGCGGACAAAAGAGTATATCTCTTCTAACTCCCTTTTAGCGCCGACAAAGTTCGTGGCGTTGTCGCTACAAATTTTGCGTGGGACTCCGCGACGCCCAACAAATCTACGCAGTGCGGCTATGAATGCCGCTGTTGATAGGTCACTCACTACCTCCAAATGTATCGCCTTTGTGGCGAAGCAAACGAACAAAGCCACATACGATTTGCATGTTTTTCTGCCTCGACCTTTGTTGAGTAGAGTGATAATGGGACCAGCGTAGTCGATTCCGGTTACAGAGAATGCACGCGATGATCCTGTCGCTGGGCAGATGTCCCATGGCTTGCGTAAGCCCTTTAGGATTGTTTCTGACGCACCAAACGCATGTCCGGCAAACTTGACGAACTATGTTCCTGGCGTTTAATGGCCAGTATTGCTGTCGTATTGATGCCAACAATAATTGCTGATTTGCGTGTAGTAATAAGCGGTGTGCTCTTTCCACGATTAAACGAGTAATCTTGCATTTTGCAGGCAGCAAAATAGGATATTTCCTTTCGAAGGTCCAGGGCGCCTCTTGAAGACGACCACCCACTCGTAAAATACCGTTTTCGTCCAGGAACGGATGTAACTGATATAGCTTGTTTGAGGCTTTCATCTGTCCTTGGCCTTGCAAATTTCCCAATTCCTCTTGGAAATAAAAACTCTGAGTGTACTTGATTATCATTCGTCGGGATTCATTTATTTCTTGCAAAGTTAGTCTAGTCCGTAATCTGTCGCGTGGTTCCTTACGACAGTTGTGGAGGAAACGAAGGCAATAAGCGAGCGATCGTTCTATTTTTGTCAATGTTGAACAATCTTGAATGAGCCTGTGAAGCGATTCATTCGGAGAAAATTGCTGTACATTTAAATGGCACAGACGAGACCTACCCTTCGCCTCGATTTCAGCATCAGCCATATCGCTTTCAAGAACGTTTGGATGGAGTTCTTCGCCGTGCGCTGGACGCAGTGATTCTGATAACCATTTTGGTCCGTACCACCATAGCCGATTGTCTCTTATCTTGACAGGTGTGGCGCCTCTTGATAGCAAGTCTGCTGGGTTCTCGGCACTCTTGACGTGCCTCCAATTGGCGGCAGGCAGGTTGTCGACAATTTCGGTTACGCGGTTGGAGACGAAGGATTTCCAACGCGAAGCATCTCCACGTATCCAATATAGCACGACCATCGAGTCACACCAAGCGTGTGTTTCAACTACCTTTACCTGTATGGCTTGTTTCACGTTGACAATTAATTTTGATAATAACAAAGCACTGCATAGCTCTAATCGCGGTATAGATTGCTTTTTCAGGGGAGCAACCTTTGCCTTGGAACATAATAAGCCAACCGATATTTCGTCGGAAGTATCGCCTTTCCATTGTATGTAAATGCAAGCACCGTATGCGTTTTCGGACGCATCGCAAAACCCGTGTACAATGACTCGGCCCGCCTTTGGCATATTAGTGACCATACGTGGAATCCGTATCAAGTTTATCCATCAAACTTTGCTGAAAGGTTCGCCATTTATTTAAAAACGCATCAGGAAGGGGGTCGACCCAACCTGTTTTTATTTCCCACAATCCCTGCATCAAAATTTTGGCTGTGGTCATAACGGGACCAACTAATCCTAACGGATCGAATAATTTGCTTATAACCGAAAGCACGGCACGCTTCGAGAATGCATCTTCCAATGACCGTACAGTGAACTGAAGCTCGTCGGACACCGGATTCCATTCAAGGCCTAGCGTTCTGGTAACGTCGCTGTTGCTGAGACTCAAATTTGTGTTGAACTCACGCAAATTCGCGGGTACACCGTCCAATGCTTCTATTGCGTTCGAGCACCACTTGTGTGCCTCGAAGCACCCCTTGGCTAATAAAGATATCAATTGCCCTTGCAAAATACATGCATCCTCGATCGTGTCTGCTCCTGTGATTATATCGTCCACATAAGTATCATTCAACAATGAACGAGCTGCTAGCGGATGATGCTCTAGTTCTACTGAAGCGAGTTGTCTCAGACACCTTATAGCTAAATATGACGCACAGGATTGTCCGTATGTAACAGTATTCAAATGATATTCCTGTACAGGCTCGTCGGGTGAAAATCGCCATAAGATACGTTGAAACTCTCTTTCATCATGGTGTACCAATACTTGACGGTACATTTTTTGCAAATCCGCTGTAATAGCTACCTTGTAGAATCTGAATCTTAAAACTATATCAATTAAATTGTCCTGCAATACGGGACCAACGAGAAGCGCATCATTCAAAGATACACTTTGGTTATTTTTCGCTGACGCATCAAAAACGACGCGAAGTTTGGTATTATTAATGTTATCTTTGAAAACTCCGTGATGAGGGAGATATACTATGGGTCGTGAATCTTGAATTGATTTATTCACGATCGACATATGATTTAACTCGACGTATTCGGACATGAATTTAAGGTATTGCTTGCGAAAGGCTTCGTCACCCTTGAACCTGCGCTCTAGCTGATACAATCTTTTCAACGCGATTTCCTTGTTATTGCCAATAGGAAGGTTCTTTTCGCCAAAAGGCAATCTAACTATGAATCTTCCATCGTTTGTTCGATTAGTAGTCTGCTCAAAATATTGTTCGCAAAATTTTTCGCCTACTGATAGTTTTTGCGCCTTGTCATTGTCGTAACTTTCTAACTTCCAAAAGTTTTCTATATTCTTGTCTAATGAATCCGTGGAACCTAGTGAACAGGTCATTACGGTTAATGCATTTCGTTTGTAAACTTGAGAATTCGTGACCGCGGATGGTATTGAACCGATCACTAGTACCGACCACTAACCAACCAAATTTAGTGTTTTGTAGAGTCAATCGATCGTTATCAATTTCGATTCTACCCTTTTCTAGCAAGTCAAAAAAAAGTATTCGGCTCCGATTAACATGTCTATCGGACTACTCTTAAAGAACTCGGGGTCTGCCAGTTCAAGATTTCCCGGAATTTGAATTCGTTGACAATCCATTTCCGCGGATGGCAGGTTTTTAGTAATTCTAGGGATAATTAGAAACTGAGTGTTGAATTCAAATTCAGAACACCTTGACTTGACGTGTACATCGCAAATGCTGTAGATTTTGTTCTCTACCCCATTCAAACCCGTAACAGTTTCTGAAATGTTGTTTCGCCTTAAACCTAATCGGTTGTGCGCTGCTTGTGTAATAAAATTGGCTTCGCTAGCACTATCTAACAGTGCACGTAGCATTATATTAGAACCGTTGCTGCGGGTTCCCTTTACAACTGCTGTTGCCAAGAGCACTCGACGATTACTCGATTTTTTGGATGAATGATGAACCGATACATTGTTGACCGGCTGCTCGGAACCAGCCTTGGCTAAAGATTCCGATCCACCTGGCTTGGCCGGAGATATCTGATCCTCCTTAGACGTGTGGCACAATGTGTTGTGCTTCTGAGTACATTCTCGACAATGCCCCATCTTGCATGTTTTGACGTAATGGTCATTTCTCAGGCAATTTGAACACAACTTCAAACGTTTGACTTCCTTAATTCGGTCAACCACCGATAATGCTAAAAACTGCTCGCAAGAATATAAGTAATGGTTTCCATTGCAAAGGTAGCACTTACCTGAAGAGAAAGAGGTTGCAAGAGCGGCCTTTTATTTTTTAGCCCTGTTGCAGAGTTTGCCTTGCCACGTTGCTCACCTTCCTTGGAGGGCTTTTCTGTTTTGTCAACGTTTCTGGACTCAATTCGCTCTAGTGTTTGACACCTATTCCTTAAGAAACTTAGCATGTCATCTAGCTTGACGTTTTCGTTCGACTTAATCTCTTCTTCCCAAGCTCTGAGTGTCCTTATGTCGAACTTGGCTTCCAACATGTGCATGATGAGTTCGTCCCATGTCTCCGTGGGGGAGCCTAGCACCTTCAAAACTCGTAGATGTCTAGAAGTGTAATCGATTAGTTCCCGCAGAGCCTTCGCCGACTCTTTCGATACCGCAGGCATTGTGAATAGACACTGTATGTGCCTTTTCTTTAATGATCTCGGATCGTCATAACGCTGCTGTAGCAATTCCCATGCCGCAGCGTAATTCTGACTCGTCAACTCTATTGACTCTATGATTTTCGCGGCATCGCCCGAAATGGATGAAGTTAAATATTGAAACTTTTCGATAGTGGATAACTGAGACCTTTCATGTATAATGGAACGGAAGCTGTCGGAAAAGCGTTTCCATTCTTCGATTTTGCCATCAAAATGCGGCAACTTGATAACTGGCAATTTGATTCTAGAATCTACATTCGTGAAACCCGACGCTATAGATACTCGATCAAGAATCTCTGTCTGCCGCGAAAGTATAGCCGCCAACGCGTCATTTTCCGTTGGGGGTGTCATGGCCGACACGTCATTTCGCGAACCGCGTAGCTGTTTATCAACTCGGCTTGATGTTGCAGCAATTGCACGATTACGCCCGAACTATCTGCCTCGACGACTTGCGGTGGCATCTTTGCGCTTTTCTTAAGCAAGATCTTTACCTCGTAGTATTTTTCCTCGAAAACTTCCTCATCTCGCGCATCGTCCTCGCTCAACTCGCTTACCTGGTCTAACAACTGCCTTTGAATAGCTTCGAAACCTCGATAGATTTCCTCTAGTTTGTCTAATCTAGCTTCTGCATGCTCTCGACTAATTTCACCCTCCTCTTGGATGATCTGCAATGTTTGCGTCCTCAGTCGGGAGAGCTTCGCCTTTACGTAGCCTCGTGCCTTGCGTAATCCAGCGATAACTTCTGACGACATCTTGATTGTCGTTTATTGCACGTTTGTCTTTGATCGTCAATATCGAACTGAACTCGATAATGCTTGCTCTAGCCTTTTGATCCCGGAATCCGGCTCGAAGGACCAATTTTATGTTTGTGTTTGGGTGAAGAATTGCGTACTTCTTTTAAGCGGACTGTAATAACTTTATTTATAACGCTTGCTCGATACAATAATGCTTGCTCGATACGATAACGCTTGGTCGATACAATAACGCTTGCTCGATACGATAACGCTTGCTCGATACGATAACCGGTAATATATTTATTGAGAGAGGCCGCGAGTCCTAGTCGCGTCGGCAGCGCCGGTGAGCGCCACGTCGCCTAGCGGCTATATCGGCAACTGGTTGCTACCCTGATTGTCAGGTGAACACGAAACGGTAACGCGATTTTCAAACCATAGAAAGAAAGCAATATAAACGTGAACAACATGTCTCATCAGAGAACCACCCTCTAAAACTCGCTATATAAACCGTGACACTGCGAGACTCGCTCTCTTCACTCTTCATTTTTGATCCTGCTCTAAGTCGGTTTTAAAGACAGACAGTCAATCTCTCGCAGTTTTTATTTCGCTAAAACAAGAGTTTGTTAAGTGCATAACCGAAGAACTTCCTCACTATATCCAGTAAGAGTTGTCTGCGAGCTACTCGAAGTCCAGGAGACTAACCAGAGAACTTAAGATCATCAACATGCCACGAAGGGGGAACAATCGCCCGTTTAGAGGTTGGCTCAGAAGCCGGGCAAATTTGGAAGCGCGAAGGTTGTTGGACGAAGCATACGCGGAATTCCAACGCTCCGCGAATACAAGAAATAACGAGAGTCGTCCATCTACACCAGCACCGGCAGCGCCGGCACAAGCGGATTCACCGCAACCACTAAATCGGCCGCTCGCGATAGTAGCGGCTCCCCGTTCACCACCTCCACCTTCCCGCTCACCGTCTCCACCCCCTCGTTCGCCTTCTCCCATTGAACCTGCTTCTCCAGCTTTATCCAAAGCTCTTACTTTGCGAATCTTTCCCGATACTCCTCCATTAACACCCGATTCTTCTATTGTCTCGATCCCATTTTCTCCCCGCCGAACTCCTTCTCCAACCAACTCCACGGACAGCGTGGAATTCTTAGAAGAAATTCCTCCTCCACCGCCGAGATTCTATTTTTTCCTCCAGGAAAGCGACTCGTTTGAGTCGCTTATCAGACAATTTCCCCACACCACCGAACCTATTCCCGAGGGGACTTACACGATAGGTCCCCATTATTTCGATCCTCAAGAAATACGGCGTGCAATTGCCGCTATCCCTCTTCACTTTGAAATTCCTGTGTTTATCCCGAATTCCGCCTATCCCTATTTAATACCGGTGGAATTCTTTTTTAATTTTTTTCCTCCGTCCTCCGCTACTATACGCGAATTATAGTGTAATAAAAACTCACTCACTCAGCACTGCTCATCTAAGATTCATTCTCTGGCGGCATGTACAACTACAATGTTAATAGCGTCTAGCGAACCAAAATCTGTTGTTGTCTATAATTTAATTGTAACCACGATTCGAATGGGAATACGATTCGAATGAAAATAATAATTTCACTTATGATGATAATTTCGGTTCGCAACACATTTTGATTATAATAATATCTTAATATTTTGTTTGTATTTACTATCTTTAGTTAATTTTAATAATGACTTGTATAATTTGTAACAACGATTTTTATGGTCATCCTAGTTTGTAATAATTCTCTTTATGCGTATTCTTTCTTATTTTCATTGCTTTCTTTACTATTAATAATTAGATAATAATGTTTGATTTAAATAAACTATGTTAATTTTCATCTCTCATATTCTCTTGTTTTAGAACCCTGAGACCTCGTAGTCTCAGGTTTTTAATCTTGCCTTTTCAGAGATCGCACGTGGTCCAGTCCCGAGTTAAAAGGATTAGATTCCTTGACTCAAAATTTGGACCTACGACCGCACCGTTCGTAGGAAACAGGTGTCAAAGCGTCCTTACGGGACGTTGACCCATATTCCGAAGCGAGCACAAAAAGGTTGCATTCGACTTGCGGCACTCGCCTCCGTGCGGGTTCCTGCGAGAAAAGAGTCTGACCGTCCCTCCAAGTACCCTCACCGTTCCCGCTCCTTTCATTCTCCGAGAGGATCACTAACAATTAAAATTTTTCCAAGGGTTTGGACGTAACAATATACTTGGGCTATTCCCTCTACAGGCGGGAAGGTAACCAAAAATAACAATAGTCTACTATGGTTATCTAGCATTACAGTTGAAGAAATTACAAAGAATGTTATCGTGTGTATATCATGTCATATATACAGTCGATATCATTCTAATAATAATACTGTAAAAATCGGTTATTTCCATCGCCGTATCCGTGTCGACTGAAACACAGCTAAATTACTGACTTTACGTTCCTTATCACGCGTTTATAACTTTCACAAATTTAATATTTAATAATGTTTTTCATATGTGATGCTTGCGAGAAAGGTATTTGCGGAAGCATCGCTCAGTGCTATTTCGTCAGAATTATAAAGCGCAACGTCGATTAGAATACACGTGAATATTTATCAGACTCATAATTAGTTGTATACGATGTTCAAACGGTTGTAATTAATTTGGATTCAAATCAATTGGAAAGACAAATATCAATAAAACGGACGTCTCTTAAATTATCAATTTATGATGATGTATGCGTGAAACCTTTTAATAAGAAGACTTAAAATATACAAATTGAAAAAAGTCTTTATACACAAATGTCTTGAAAAAAACAATATTATGACGAATTGAACTGAAAGTTGCATAAAGAAAATATTTATAAATGAAACAAAAGGCAACGTGAATAATTTGACAAGACCTAATGAAGAGACAAGTAGATATTAACTCAGAATTCAAAAATTATGGAAGAAGATAGCCATTGCAAAATGTCTTCGATTAAGAATTCAACTTTCACGAACGTCAACAAAAGTTCCAATTTCTTTGGAAATATAAATAAAAAACATTCTTATGCGGGAAAAAATAATGAACAGAAAGTGAACAAAATAAAATCAAACTTACATCAAGATTTATTTTGGCCGTTCAGTATATTGATAATGTTCTTCAAGCTTATCGGTCTCGTTACATTCGTGCATCGAAACGTCATGTACAAAAAGAGAATCTCATACACATTTCAATATTCCAAATTTGGAATCGTTTACAATGTTGTGCTGAGTAGTTTAATGATAGCTTTGAACTATATTATATCTATACCATTCAGACTTAATTGGCACTACATGATCCAGACGAATTTGACTGTAGGCATCGCGGTTCTACAAACTGTACTTGGTACCCTGGTGATGTGTGTGATTTTGATTAGCTACTGTATCAACCAGAAGTCCTTGGTGAGAATCGCCAATCGATTAATCACCATCGAGCATGAGATTGATCGTCTGTATCATCTATATCATCCGCTACGACGACAGCGTATCTTCTGCATTATGATCATCGTTTGCATCTTGAAGATTTGCCTGCTGATACTTCTCTTGTTCGTAGAGTTCCTGGTCTTACATTTGAACCCAGTCTCATGGCTGACAGACGTTTTGCCGGCATTTCACGTGGGTTGGATACTGATACAGTACTTCCTGTTGGTGACGGTCATTCAGGCAGATTTCGCCGATGTGAATCGAGCGATACAAAGTCTAACCAGAATCAATGCACCTGATCTTCGACTGCAGTCTCTCTATCAAACGCGTCGTATCATAATGAACAATTCGATCGTTTATCAACTATTGCAACTGCGAGATGTGCATTGTCATCTCTGTGAAATCTCTGAAGATATGTCGAGTTTCTATTCACTACCAGTACTATTCGGCATCGTTTTTCTCTTTCTGTCACTTATATATAATGGTTACTATTTTCTCTTGTTTCTGTTGATGACTGATGATATCTTAAATTATTCTTATGGCATTCTTGATGTCATCCTCTGGATAATATTTCTGATTTATCCCATCTCTCTCCTCACCAACAGAATTACCAGGATTTTAATCGAGGTAGAATGATCAATATAATGAGATCGTATTTTAATCAGATTGTTTCAATCGATGAAAGAAAATATTTTTGTCATTAAATAAAAACCCAAATATTTTACGAAATATTTAAATTATAAATTTATTGTATAGATGGAGAAAACGGGCAGTATAGTGCATAATCTTTTAAACCGTGCAATCGGACAAGAGACAAGAGCAGAGGTAAAAACCAAAGTTAGATGACACTCTCTCAAAAACGGTACTCATCGTAACGATATTTATCATAGATATGTTTCAGCTCAAGAAATTTTCGCTTCAAATACTACATCGCAAAATACAGTTTACAGCTAACGGATATTTTACGCTCGATAATACTTTTCTTTATTCGGTGAGAATATTTAGAATGTAAGGAATGTAATACAAATTAAATTTTTTAAACTAATAGTTTTGATTATTTCTCTCAGCTAACTGGCACAGTGGTGACATATTTGGTAATAATTACGCAGTTTCAAATGGGAAGCTCGCGTTCATGGATCAATGCAAACTATACAGTAAGCAATGTAACTATACAAGGAAAGA